GGAAAAACAGTCGAATTTTAATATTTGGTGAAACTCGAAAGAGCCATTTAGCTATCTCAGGTATGCTAACCGGTATTTGGAGTAGGCGACGTCTGTGTTTCATCCCTGAACTGTAGACAGAGACGGCTGGATCGTTGATCGTTGAGATTTCTTGAGATTTCCGTTTTGAGATTTCTTGTAATCAAAAAATAAATGAAACATTTGGCGGTATTTTAGCAGCACTGTGCTTGGCGTACTTGTGCCAGGGGGACATGAAGAGGAGGGATGGGTGGGAGAGGGGGCGAAGAGATGTTTTGGAAAATTCTCAAAAAAAAAAAAGAATTCTCAAGTCGCACTCAACCTTAACTGTGTTTAAATTTCCATAAAGTGGTTCTTGTAATTTACCGATTGGAAAAGGTCCACTTTTGGAAATAGAAAGGATAGAAGGGGCCATGGAAGCCCAACCCAGAAGTGATCATTCCAAATAGGAATGTCAGTGTTGTGGTAGACGAGGGTTTTGGTAATAAAAACCTCAGTACCATGCGTGCCCGCATAAAATGTATAGGTCAAAAACTTCTTATGAAGTTGTAAAAATTTAGAGATGTTAAACTAACATAAGGGAAAAATGGACGGGTAAACCGGGCTCTCTATCGCTGAGGTAGTGACTAGTGAGAAGGGTATCGCGACCCTAATTGTTAACTTATTAGACTAGTGTGTGCCACATTTGTATGTGTGGGTAAGACGTCGCGTCCCACATACATATTTATAATAAGGCGAGATACATGTCGAAGTGGAATACAAATAAACGTGAAAAGGCTCTGGGAAGCCGAAGCTCCTCAGACTAGGAGTATTAGTTAAATAGAAGTAAGTCGCAGCAGTGGCGATCCCGGCGATGGGGAGAAGTGCTTTTATACCTCAGGGGACGTCGATCAAAAGTTCAATGAGAGTACGGCGGTGGAAGTTTGTTCCAGGGACAGGGATACTACGTCATAATAACGCAGTTAATCTTTAACCTACTTTTAACAAAAACCATTAATCATTATTTGATATATTATACAAGGAATGTTGGTATAGGTGGATCCAGACGGCATCCTGCTGGGGAGGGGGATAGGCGATCAGGGATGCGGAAGAGAGTTTTCTTCAGTTTTAGCACTGCTACCTGTGGTGCTAGGGGTTTGGAGTGAGGGGGGAAGACCCATCGGACCCGTCAATGAGTGTTGGCAAGGAGGGTATTCACTGTAGGAGGTAGCTTGCGCGAAAATTATGTAAATTTGAGAAGCAAGGTATATAAGTGAAAAGTTTGAGGTGTTTGGGGTCATTCCGTTTATTGGCTTTGTTCTGGGTGGTGATGGAGCAAGGAAGGCCAGCTTAAGGTGGTTTTTTCGCTGTTCTCGTTTTGCGGTATTTCTTTACGCCT